ACACAAATTAATTTTACATGTGTTTTTATACGTATTTATAACATTTAACAGGTAACATTTATACATATCTTACCTAACAAAATATTAAATAATGAATAAATTGGTAAAATATAATTTGTAGGTAAAGGGACCCATTTGTCAGTCATATTTATGATGTATGTCAGTTTTTTAAGTGGTTCTTATTTTCATGTGCTTAGAGTATCTTACGTGCTCTATATGAATGGTTTGACGGCAGACGTTTATCAAGTCATATTATTTTATCGGATGAATATGATGTTGAGTTAAGAATTATACTCGATAAGAACGAGATAAAAACAAAGAGTCTTGCCCGGTAAGTGATGACGACAACTATTACCACATTAAGCGCTTATTGGGTAAACTATTGCATACAATGTTGTTTTGGTGGACTAAAGTTTTACCCAGTAAATAAGTGGTGGTGTTAAGTTTTACCAATAAACGCTTATCGGGTAAGTGTTTGGTAAACAACCCATTCAGTTAACAATTTATTAGTACTTATAACTTATTCGATCAGCTATATATTATTTTCTGATACTGACTTAATAATATAGAAAACGATTTATTCGTTAAGCTTTTAGAGGAGCTTTATGTAAAATCAAGTTTTTTTTTTCCTTCCAAACCTAGCCCTTCCATTTAAAACACGTTCTTTTCATCTATGAAAAAACTCTCCCAAATAAAAATATTCTTAATTTATATAGACAGATTAATTTACATTCAGCTTTATCCATAAAGGAAACTAACCATAGTCATAGTCACGTACCTTGATTTCTTTGGGCTATTTGGGCTCAAGTTTAATAATCATGGGCCAACGTTTCGGCCTTTTGGGCTAATGTTTGACAAATACTCATGTTAGAAATAACTGAAGTGGAACCGATTGGGTCTCGGACTTGGAAGCCGAGGTAGAGAGTGGTTCAGGACCGTTGGTTAAAGACCAGTTACATATTTCGGGAAAAATTCGGTATCACGTGGACCCAAAACCGGTTACAAGTGGGACAGATATTCACAAATTTTGCAAGATTTGTTTCAATCAGATGTAATATTTAAAGTGTATTCTAAAAATCATAATTACAAAAACTTGTATAATTTTTCGTGTAAAAATACAAAAAAGTTGAGTTTTCTAAAAATCGGGACAAATTGTACACAATTTACGCTCGGTCCAACTTTTTTTCTTAGGGTCGGGAAATTGCCGGTTACATTCCAACCACTTGAGATMGATTTTTGGTCATCTCTATTTGATGCTAATAGTTTTAACAAGTTGAATTAATTAAAGAGCAAATTGCATGAAAAAAAGTAATGTACTTTAATTTGATTCATATTTTGGTTAACATACTCTCAAAACTTCCATTTTGGTACATAGATGTAAAGTTTTAAACATTTAGGTATCCGGATAATTGGTTGAAGTATTAACCGGTTACCATGTTAATGTGACGAGTGATGAGATGAAATTGGGTTGAATAACAAATAATACTGAGTTGGATACCACATCACTCGCCACATCAGCATGGTAACCAGTTAATGCTTCAACTTACCCGAGTACTTAAATGTTTAAAATTTTACATCTTAGGTACCAAAATGAAAGTTTTGAAAGTACGTTACTCAAAATATAAATCAAGTTAAAGTATCTTACTTTTTCATGTAATTTGCCTTTAATTAAACAACTACCAAACGAACAAATTATACGGAAATAGTTTAAAAACAATTGGAAAGGTTTTAAGGAATTGTTGTAACCGATATTAAAGAATATACAGATGTTGGATTCAAGACTTGATCATAAATCGTCACTGGGCATCTGTTTTCAGTAAATTACCATATTAACCTTGAGGGGTAGTTCAACTCTGAAGACATTAAATTTGCTTATTAGATGTCATTAGTTCAAGTCCTTGTCAGATCACTATAGAGTCTGTTTGAGTGTTAACTTCAGTGCCCCATGAGATTAGTCAAGGTATGTGCAAAGGTCAAAACACCCACAGTTACCGAGTTATAGCTGTAATTCATATCTGGCCCTTATCATAACTCTGTAGTTTAAAGCTCACAAACGTCAGAAACTCACTCAGCATTGACCCTTATGTTATCTTTATCTGCTCTGATTGGCACCCTTCGTTTTTAACCCTCTGCCCGTAACTTTTATCATCACCATCGTTCAAAAATGAAACAACAGAAATTTTGTTGTTTGTTTTCGTACTCATGATCTTTTGGTTACATTTATTTTAATTGGTTAAAGAGATTTTATTCGACTAGAAAACTAAGACATAATAACGAATAAATATTTTCAACTATAAATGTTTTGGAACTGATGTGTAGACAGTACGCTTTATACGATTGCGCCAAGCCTTTATAATTCTATAAGAAGCGAAGAACGTGTTTGACCGTCAGACCGTTCTTTGGACGTATTACACTTAACTACAACGTGTTTCCACATTTGACGTTTTTGCACTTTTTCGCTCCTAAAAACGGGTATGTTACTTTTATTTCCGACCATGTAAATTGAGTGAAAATGCCCGTTTTTTGGTTCTTGAATTCCCTTTAAATATATATAGAAGTTGTCAAGAAAAAGATAGATATCAAGTTAAAAAAGACAATCAGTATCCGTATAATTTGAAAAGTTAAAAAGAAAATGGCAGGAGTCGCATCAGCATGGTTTCAGACCACCCGCACCATGGTTCGCATTGCATGGGGTTTAAGGGTTCATTGCACCAACCCTAGACCTTCACAGGTCCCTCTTTCATTTTTGTGAACATTTGAAATTTTAATTCTTGTCTGTGTTACAGGTGATAAAAAAGTTAATATAATGAAATCGATAATGGTCTGAAAACTAAGAATTGACAAAATTTGGGTTTTCGAACAGATAAAATCAAATAACTGAGGACGAACCATACCAAATCAAACTGAAACCTACTACGTTTTTTTTTATTAATCTTGATATCCAACCCGCTATGCGAGCCGACTAATCCCAGGGGGGATCACTTGCTTTGCATATAGCCCCGGAGTCACCACATTTGAACCTCCGTGGCCACAAGAGGATTTTTATTTATCTTTGAATTTAAACCTGAGATCTCCAGGTACTTTTGATCTTTGGAGCCAAGCTCAAACAAATCAGGCACCACCCTTGTGGTTGAAACCTACTATGTTTTGGTTATTAGGCCTAGATTTTTTTTTTCAAACCCTTTTCCGGTTCAAGATTTTCTCGAAAATCAGTTTTTGTTTCGCCCTAAAATCCTGAACCAAACTGATTTATTTCAAACTGGAAACAATGTTATTTTATGTTTATGTCTTTCAAATTAAGACAAACTCATGTATGCATTATATTCAATATCTGGTTTAGGACCTAACGATTTTAATTCAATTCAATAGGTTGTTTTTAACTTGTTTTTTATATGATATGATCAAACAGGGTCAAACTAAAACGAGTTATGGTTAGGACAAACCTAACCAGGCTACGTCGAGAAATGATTGACCAATCAACTATCTGTCCCTCGTTGGATTCTCGTAAATAAGGAATATATATATATATATATATATAATAAGGAATATATATATATATATATATATAATAAGGAATATATATATATATATATATAGGTGGAGGTTCAAACGAGAACCCATGTGATTTACGAGAATGCGAGAACAACCCAATAACCTCAAACTTTTTTAATTAATAAATTAACTTTTATTATATATAAATAATTTAATAAGGACAATAATGTAATTAAGTAATTTTTATAATTTTTATAATTTTTATTTTAATTAACCATAATTATCTTTTCACGTTCCACGTTTTTCTCTTGGTAGTTATCTTCTTCTCATTCGTTCATGATAATCTCCATGGCTTAACATCTTTTCTTCATATCACACCTCTATCACATAAGTATCACACTCATATCATATGATTATTTAACATCTTTTCTTCATATCACACCTCTATCACATAAGTATCACACTCATATCATATGATTATCACACTCATATTTTATGATTATACCAAAATTTTAACTTATCAATCAAAACGATAATCCAAGTGATGTATAACAGTGATTATCACACCCTTATCACATGATTATCACACCCTTATCACATGATTATCACACCCAAATCACATGATGACACCAAAATTTTAACTTATCAACCAAAACGTTAACCCAAGTGATGTATAACGGTGATTATCACACCCCTATCACATAAGTATCACACCCCTATCACATGATTACACCAAAATTTTAACTTATCAACCAAAACGATAACCCAAATGATGTATAATGGTGATTATCACACCCCTATCACATGATTATCACACCCATATCACATGATTATCACACCTAGTACAATCCTAACCTATTTCGTAACCGTTTAAAAGATTTGATAAGACTAATGATAATAATGATCGTGTTTAAAAGATTTGATGTTCCATTATTATCCTTTTAMYTTTAATTTTTTTTAAATCTTTTTAAATTTTAATTTTAATTTAAAAAATCTTTTAATTTTATTTTTTATCACAATATGAGGTTATTGGGTTGTTCTTGCGTTCTCGTAAATCACAGGGGTTCTCGTTTGAACCCTTCCCTATATATATATATATATATATATATATATATATATATATATTAAATATGATTAGAAAAACTATCATTAAAATGTCGATCCAATTTTTCGGATAATCAATTTCGAAGGCCGTGCAAACCCAGGTTACATGACTTGTGGCTGATTTTTAAAAAGTTCAGCAACCAAATTGATCTATTTTTTTGAAGCAATATAATATTTATATACGACAAATAAAACAAATAAACTCACACACCATTCTTACATTTGGTGAAGCTTGAACCCTTGACAGGAGATTTAAGACTCACATACCGCTCAAAGGCCCTTTGGTCAATTTTTTTTCCTGTATCCAACAAGCTGTTTGTATATGTGTTTCAAAGATGTTTTAACGAATTGAATATATGGAACTTCTAATAGGTGCGGTTTGTGACGTCACCCTCCTCATCAGAATCAGCCAAGCGCGAAATTGAGGAGCTGAAGAAAGTCACCAACCAAATGAAAGAGAAGGCAGCGTCCCATGCCGGCAATGTAAGCATTTTTTTTGTCAAGTTTTTATCTGTAAATTTCTTTGATTACACCATCTGATTTGATCAACTATAGCTAGAGATGGTCAAATGGGACGAGCCGACCCAGGATACCCGAAGGATCTAGACTGACTTCAGATCGAACCGGCCCGGCCCAGGACCGATTGAGACTGGTTATAGTTTTCATCCAAAAACAAGGACTGGCCCGACTCGGGACCGGCCCGATTTTTTTTTCAAAAAAATGTATTTTTATATGTATTTCTAACTTTTTAAGTGTATTTTTATGAAAATCAAATTACAAATTTACAATAAAACATATTTTTTAAATATATTTGATTGAAAACCAATTAGAAAACTATAATAAAACGTAATTTTTAAATGTATCTGATTGAAAACCAAATATAAAACGTATTTTTAAGTGTATTTGATTGACCTAATTAGATATTTTAAAGTGTATTAGAATAACATTAAAGTATTTTTAAATTTTATCAAAAATAAATTTTAAAAAATATAAAAAGAAAATGTTTTCTTAATATAGGACCAGTTTGAGCCCGACACGAGACCGTAACCGGTCCGGATTGTTATTGTTTCACTCCAGGACCAATTTAAGCCCTACTCGACCCGAAACCGGTTTTTGACCTGTTTAACTCTAAGTGACTGATTATCGAAGAACGAAATCCATCAATATTTATATAATCGATGAAAATGGTCAATGTAGGATGGAATCATTTAATGTACATTTTACTAAATCATAGAGATAAAATCATATTTTATTATTTAAATAATTTTTTTTATTTTAATTTTTTTTAAAATATTAATTATATTATTAAAATATTTTGTAATAATTATAAAAATACCATTTAATGTAATTTCTAGTAAAACCCAATTAATATCTAAAAAAATACATAAGATTTCTTCAAATATTGAGATATCATATTTAATTTGAGTTGACTTCACATTAGACCAACTTATTTTTGTGAGACCTATCAGACCATTTTTCTAAAGAAGAAATTTCACAACAAAACGTTATGAAGATAAAAAAAAGTCGAACATTCACAACAAAAACACTATGAAGGTTACCTTCACAACATTTTGCTGTGAAGTTTCAAGTGTAAAAAAAATGGTCTCACGGATGTCACAAAAACATGCTGGTCTCACGTGATTCCACTTCTATATAACCTATTTTTTATTAGAAAATCTACAATTTCTTCTCATTTTAGATTTAGTTAAAGATGTTCCTACCAGTTATGACCTGGGATCCAACAATTCAGATTAAATAATTATGAGTGCTAAGTTATACATTTTTTAACACGATATATATATTTTTGGTTATTGACAGTCGACTATTTTATCTTAGGATATTTGTATGTATTTTGGATTTTGGTAAATATCAGTTAACATGAATTTTTATGAAGATGGCGAACCAATCGAAAGAAGCCATCGGAGCAGCGGATAACATAGCCGAGAAAGCAAAACAAACAGCGAAAGAAGCGTGGAGTGCCACCAAGGATGCTGCTCAGAAAGTGCAGAACACGGTGGCTGGAAAAGCAGATGCATCTGCAGCCACCATTAAAGATAATATTGAAACTGCTAAACGCAGTATAAATACCAAAAATTAGGGGAAAAAAATATACATAATTTTTTAATCACTGAAACGTCGCTTACGAGGAGGTACAAAAAGTGATTAGAGCCACCCCTCAATGGTGTTTTCTCCATGTAATTTATTTGTATTTATATGAATTATTATTTTACATTCACTAAAATCAAATTATAAATATTCATGATATAAATAATTGTATTATATTATGACAAATTGTTGTTTTTTTTTTTAATTTCGATCTGTTCAACTCTAAAATCAACTTTATGATAAGGTCTGTCATTCAATGGATCAGTCCGTTTCTCAATAAACCTTCAATTTAAACTCAATAGAACTAAAAAACAGACATAATGGGACAATGAAGTGGATTTAGGTTTAGTTTCGAAGAAAAGTGGTTTCGTTTAATTCAAACTGAAACGGGCTCTTACAGTTGGTCTAACCGAGAGCAGCCCTGAAAAAGGCTTAAGCTAGTGATGCTTTCGGCAACTGGACTTTCGCCATGCCGACCGTTCTACCACTGAGCTACTGGGAACAACGGGCAATTCAATCCGAGCTCTCTTGGAATAAATTCGGCAACGGATCACGTCAAATCGCATGACTCAACTCAAGACAGGCGGTGGAAACAACCAAGCTGGAGTACGGTAGGGGCAGCTCGTCTCGCGCGTGACCTTCTCTTAAATTCTCAAAACTTCTGCCTAACTCAAGGCCTCAAGTTACGACCAACCGATACGAGCCCGCCTCAGACCACACAGATCCTGAGTTCTACCCTTGAACTGGAATCAATCCAATCACCTTCCATGTGGCTCATTGCCAACAGATAGCAACTGCCAACTATATTAAGCCAAATTGGGTCGATTTTCAGCTAATTTTCCTTTGACCAAATTGGTGGCCGTATAACCACAATTACAAACCATCACCATTACTACACGATTGACGATTGTAAGTTGTAACATAAAAACGAACACGGAATTTCAATCATAAGAAAAACAAATAAATCCATCGTAAATTGACGTTAAACCGTAAAAACCCTAATCGGCCAAATTATCTTTTGATTGTTCAAACACAAGACAGGCTTTATTAGGAGCCCCGAATGGAGCCCCAACTGCTGCTGCTGAATTTGGGGGAAAACCACCCCACGATCCTCATTTCAAAACTTTGGGTCTTTGGCAAAACAGATCCCTGAACTTCTTTTTGCCCCTTTAACTTTCAAATCCTTACATTTTTAGCCCAAAATAATTTGCAACTCATCTTTTTTCCCATGCGTTAGGGGTTGTTTGACAGTTGTTGAATGGTTTGGTACATAATGATTAAGAGACTCTTATAATATAGTGCAAAATGAAATAGAATTGTTTGGTAATTATTCAAAATAAAATTAGGGTGCTGAATGGTTAAGGGAGACCCAATATACAAAATCATTCAGAAGATTTTATAACCATTAAGAGACAAAAATAATTTTTACCAAATAAGATTCACCTCTTAGCGATTCAGAGACTGTCTTTTAATATAATTATTAAGAGTTAAACAAACAAGTCTTTAGAGAATTCCCAACAAAACCTTTTTCTAAATGGAGAAAGTATAAAAAAAAGTGAAATGACATAAATGTAAAGAATTCTTAAAAATAATTACTAGCCACAGTAAAAAAAATTAAAATTAAATGCTTAAATAAAATAAATCATATTTTATTAAATATATACAATATTTTAATAATGAAATTAATGTTGTATTATTTAAAATAAAAAACTGTTAGGAGTGAATGTAATTTTTTCACGAAGAATTTGTTGTTTGAGGTTGTTTTTAGTGTGTAAAATAGTCATTCAATGACTATTGTTATTGTTATTTAACAGTTACAAAATGATTTGGCGCAAAATGATTAATAGGCTTTCATGATATAATGCATAATGAAATTATGGCGTTGAATGGTTAAGGGAGGCTCAAGGTATAAAATCATGCAGATGGTTTTAGAACCATTAAGAGGCAAAAAAAATTTTTTTTGCCAAACAAGATTCACCTTTTAACGATTCAAATGTCGTTTCTTAATAGAACTATTAAGAGGTAAACAACCAACCGCTATGTCTACGGATGCTTTAACTTTTAGGAGCATTGACAACAGATCTTGTAAAATAGAGATAAAGATTTTGTTATTTATTTTACTTTAACAGATTCTTTATATTGTTATTTAGAAGTGAAACTAAAATTTAATGTATCAGACATACTTTTTTTTAATTGGTTTATAAAAGTTGAGTCTATAAAACGTAAACTAAATATAATGAAATATGTATTTAAGAATTCAGCCCAAGGAGTTTAACTATTTTTCAGACCAGAACAGATCAACAGACAACTCAAACCACAAAAACATAATCAATTTTAACTTATGGACTGTTTACCTAACACTTATCCAAGTAAGCGTTTACCAGTAAAAGTCAACATCTAACGTAACTTATTTGGTAAGATTTTAGTCTATTAAAACAACATCGTATGCAAAAAATTATCTAGTAAGCATTTACCAGGTAAGAGTTGTTTCTCTCACTTATTGGGTAAGACTCTCGTTCCCTGTCATCACTTTTACCGGGTGATATTCTCAATTATTGTTATGTTCATCCAATATGATAAAGTGACTCAGTAAACATTTATTGAGTAAGTATTAGTAAACGACTTCTTAGTTCAACCGTTCAAAAAGTCCAACAGTGTTTTTTTTAACATCTCTACTTGAAATACTCTTATGCAATATTTAAACCGGAAATTTACCTCTTAACCATTTCTCTCAAAGAATTACACAGAATGTCACTAACTCTCTGTAATTTTCATGTCCGCAAAATACGGACCTGATTAAATGACAAAAAATGTTACTGAATATTGCAGATTTGGGCGAAAAATGTAACATTTGTTGCGAACGATGCAACATTCTTTTGTCGTTTAACTAGGGTGTCGTTTACTTAAACACTTACCTGGTAAGCGCATAAGGTAAAATTCAACTCTATCTCTTACTTATCGCGTAAGACTCTAGTCTACCGAGACGATATCGTATGTAACAATTTACCCAGTAAGAGCTAACCGTGGTAAGAGTCGTCGCCATCACTTACCGGGTAAGACTCTCGGTTCATGTCTTCGTTATTACCAAGTAAGATTCTTGGTCTTTGTCATATTCATCCGGTAAAAGAATGTGACTTGATAAGCGTTTACCCAAGTAAACATTTAGTAAACGACCCTTAGGTATGTAAATTACAGAGATAGTAACATTTATGTAATTTTAGAGAGAAATGATTAAAAGGTGAAATTATGTGATTAAAATAATTATTTTAATTAATTTATTTATTTAAAATGTGGGGGGTACACGTGGACCTAAGTCGGTGACTTGGAAGATGCATGCTTACGTGGATGGTTTTATTGGATGAGAAAAGTTGCAGTAGCGGCGGTAACATTAATTTCAATATCAAAAGGAGATCGGACGGACAAAGATGTACGATCAGTTACGTCATTGGTCAGAGAGTTGAGATGGGACACGTGGCGATGAAAGAAGAGAGGCACCGTTTGAAAAACGAATCTAGACAAACAAACCCCACCATCTCTTTTATCTCTTCTTCTTTGTCGACTCTTCCAAGTTCGTTCTCTCACAATAAATATATCTCTGCCATAAAAGTTTAAAAAAAAGTAAAAATTCAATTAATTTATTTAAAAAAATATATGTTTATAATTTAATTTAGAACATTTTCAACAGATTTTTTATTTTTAGATAATCAAATATTAAAGAGTTTTTTTACAGTTGTTAAATGATTAAGTGATCAGAATGATAAAAATGCTCATATGATATAATGCAAAATGAAATATAATTGTTCGGTAACTGTTGGAGCAAAATATTGGTTCAAATCCTCATTTTTGTCATTTTAAAGAAGCTGTTGGAGATGCTCTTAGAACATTTTCCTACAATTTTTCTACAATTTTTCTAAAATAGAGAACCAAAAGGTAAAATCTTTAAAATAATTTGCATTGAACTCCAATGGATTCTTTATTTTAGAGATTTCGTCGTTAATTATAGGACAAATTGCATGAAAAGATAATATATTTTATATTGATTTCTATTTCGGGTAACGTACTATTAAAACGTTTGTTTTGCCACCTAAGATGTGAAGTTTCAATCATTTAAGTATCCGAGTAACCGGTTACCATTTATCAATGCTAATGTGACATCCAACTCAATATCATTTACCGACGTGGCTAGTGACATGAATTTTTTTTTTCAAATCTAAAATTAGCTTTAAATCTATTTATTTTGTTAGAATTTATATATTATAATTATTTTGTGTGAAATATATACTTTGCAAATAATTATAATATAAAAATTATAATAAAATAAATAAATTCAAAACAAATTTTAAATTTTAAAAAATCCATATTACTGGTCATTTCAGCAAATAATATTGAATTAAATGTCATATCACCCACTATATCAGCATTGATAACTAGTTAATGCTTAAATCAGTTACTCAGATACTTAAATATTTAAAACTTCACAACTTAGTACGTTATCCAAAATCAGAATCAAGAGAAAGTACATTACTTTTTTCATACAATTTGCTCCTAAATTATAATTTTTAAATATTCTATTAATTTTATGATCCCAATATTTTTTTTAAAAAACTTATATAAAATGATATTAATTCAACCCCCATTGATAGAATGAATTGAAACTCATTTCTCTCTCATCTCTTTAGAGTTTCAGATAATTTTCTATATTGAAATGTGATAGTCAAAACTGGTGTAACAAATTAACAAACCATATTTTGCAGTTCGAATCACTTGCATTATCCAACAGACGCATTTATGAAACAGAAAAAAAGTTTGGATGTATCGGTCGATTCAGATGTCTGTGATGCTTTATCATTGTAAGTTTTTCATCTGAAAATGCAAGTTGTACGAAGATATATTCAAGGGTCTTATTATACGGAACATGTACACGGGTTTTTTTTTTGTACTAATAATTAAAAAACAATAGTGATGGAATGGCGTGTCTCGATGTATTTTGAC